AATTGAATATCACACGCAGAGCATCTTGACCGTTGCCAAATCAACGAATTCATTCATCAAAGCTTATAGGAAATCACAATGCCTGACCATAGTCGACTTGATTCAAATTAAAAAGAAGTGCACTGATTAATTTAGATATGTTGGATATGTTGTACTGTTCTCAGTACATAATTTTATAATCTAATATTGATTGTTAAGTCAGTGCGTCTCGGTACTGGAATAAATCTGGCAAAATGAACTACCTGCCACCCCTCCCCCATTATCAAAGTTTACGATATTCCGTGTTACTAGGTCATACACAGACTTTTCTGTGCGCATTAATCTGTTAGGCTCCACCCAGATGTATGGATAAATATACGTGCTAGACACTCCTGGAAAATGCAACAGTTCTTTGCACTGACCTGGAATGATACACTGCGTGATTGAAGTAAAATTGGATTTCTAAAGTCATTCAAGCAAATGGTTCATATAAGTCACTCGAGTAAAACAGACTGATTTCCCGTACAGAGTGTTGAAGAGCGGGGTAAACCAAGACTAATGCAATTAAGGCAAAGTCATTTCTGTCCCCAACTAGCACACGGATTCTCCAATTGTGCCTATCGATGGACGCTGAATGTGTGTATACTGCTGATGAGCTTGACTAACTTGATTTGAAACTACCGTCAAGCATACTTCCTTGATCATATAATAAATGATTGAAATGCTAGTGTAAAGTAATAACTGTTGAGGGAGGAGGGGACTGAAGGACACAAAACTGAACCACTGTGCGCGATCCCAAATATCTGTAAAGTCTCGTTGATCACAAATACGAAGATGCACGGCATAATCCAAAGTGCTACACTCTCAGTTTTACATCTGGTGCCGTTTTGGAGTCGGGATTATAAAGATTTATTGTGGTCTTTTTTTGAAATTTTTCTACCCCCATTTTAACCACTAGAGACAATGGTTTTTTTATCAAAGGTGTTTAACCAAAACATAAAGGTAAATCCTTATGTTGGTTATTATGCAGTCTATTCCAAACGGAGTGTTACTTAGATACTTATTGTGAAATAAAATAGGTTGGCGACAACATATTTCACGGGTTACGGGTACATCAATGATCGGATCATAATTCCCAAAATCACTTACACTCACAATCGAAATTCACTCGCTGGTTGCTTTGGTAAAACCTGTGTCATGAAGTCCATGATTAAGTTGCTTTATTTTTATCGGTCATATGATTCCTTCAGCTTCAATAATCATTATCTCACTTCTCGAATATGCCAATATTTATTGAAACATTTATAGAAAGAATTGCGTACGATAGGATCAATGTGAACATATTGTTTCTAACACATAGTCGTGTACAACGCGTTACTAGCAAAATATTCCAAGCATGAATACTATTACAGGATTAAGCATAATCCCCGTTTCATGTCTCGGACAAAGAGAAATCGTCGTACATTGTAATCGTTCAACTTTCCACTGAAGATTTATGGTCACTCAGGGATTATTTAAACAAAGGCAATTTCCCCCGCATCTTGTAAAGTTCTCATAAACGGCCAATCTTGCTTGCATGCTCCTTTTTCCCTGCCTTGGACTATTCATCTTACAGTCTCATCAAGTCTTTCCGGAATATCTTTCAGATTTTACCCATTTTTATTTCGTTTACTAGTTTCTGAACCGCTTTCTTGTGTTAATTGGCCAAGAGGAATGTAGAGATCTGCTGCGTACGTCAGCCTTACACACAGACAGACAGCCGTTGCAGACGCCGTTAACAGGCTTGGTGGGATTGTACTTCCCTGTTCCCAGAAGAACAAATATTCCAGTTCTCATTTATGCATTCCCAATAAAATAAAACTAACACAACCCTGAATGTTTTGGCATGAAGACTTCGTATTCTGATGTTTTTTATTTTTACCGCGTTATTTAACGAGCTTTTCGCCATTTCCGAAACGGTACTTACTATTTTTAGTTGCACCAGAAAACTGACCAGGCTAATGATTCTTGATATGAATATGTTCATCAATGAGGCATTTTCGTTTAACCGGCAGAGACCAGCCATTTTTCCAGTGGCTGGTTTTCCGTGCAAGTGTTTGTTTTCCCATCATTTTCAAATGCAATATGGTTTTCTAATTAGTCCAAGTTAAATTCGTTGAACTACACAGTTTCACCAATTAAATACCTACCTATTTGCTGCTCCTTTCCTTCTCGCTCAACCTTCCTCCCTTGGATTTGTATATGTCATAGATGTCAGGGATTCGTGAAATGAACACGCACGATATCCATGTAAAGTTATCACAATATTCACAGTGAATGAATTTGTGCATTTTATTCATTCTCAAAAAACTGAAATCCAAAAAGGCTTGATTATACGCTTGGATACTGTATTCCATTTATTTAAATCCAAAGTTTCCTCATCGCTTATTTACCAAGGTCTGAAACAAAAGATGCGACTTGTTTTACAGGCAGATTGATTTAATTGCCCAGCAGGATACTGAATAACACCATGTCCTCTTGCTCAAAAACACTGGATAGTTGATAAACTCAGAAGTCGCTTTCAAGGTTTAAGCCTATGATGTTTGGTCCCACCAGTATCCGGAGGTGAACGTTGACTGTAAATAAATAATAACACGAAAGCTAACAGTTGATCGTGGCACCTCAAACCCTTTGAGTCCAATCCTCCCTAACTCAATGATCCATGGCCAACGGAGCAATAAAAAAATCATCTGCCTGTGTGTGTGTGTGTGATATTCTCTGTATCTCCATTAAAATCATGATTGAATGTATGAGCTTATTAGCGTGAAAAATTCTTTCTACTCAATCTGCAATTGTCTTGCGAAGGAACAGATGAAGGCGAATTGTTTTATCAAACTGTTGTTTCAAATGCTGAGGTTGGTGTGCTTCACACATTGTACACAAGTAACCATTTAACTATGAATTTGTTCCGCTGCAAGCTCCTTTATAAAGGACTTTTGGTTTTCACACACACACAGGTGATTCGATGAGCAAAACTCGTTCTAAATGGATAAGCTCATTCAACCTTCTTTTATCATCTCGCATTTTCCGGGGTACGCACCCGAGGAAGGTAAAATATTTTTTTTTCAGCCGAAGATTAGGTCTATTTCCTTATGTGATGAGGCTGCTCGTAAAAACGGATTGTTCACTCATGCGCGGAGAGGAAGGTTCACATAGGACTGTGCGAGTGCATTGCCTCAGTGGGTTGTTATATCCCGCTCGAAATTGTGCAATTTCATTCTCCAGATTGGCAATCCACCATTCTTGAATATACTGGAACTAAAATCATCTCCCAGGTTTTACAAACCCTCAGCTCATAGGTTTCAGTTAAGTAACCTGATTCAACTATTCATAGAGCACGCGTTCCTAATCACAAACAGACTTCCAGTTTGAAGTTGATTATTTGCTGTCAGTGAAGTGGGCAGTCTTTTCACGAACGAAAGCTTCACACGCAATTGGAAGTAATCAAGACCACGAGAGCACACGAGGAAAAATGTGTCAAATGCACACTGCCTGTGTATACTTTTTAGTTTTTACTTTGTACAAACTAAAAAAGATAAAGACTCGTGAGAACCAGGATACACCATTATTTAACTCGACACAGACTGATGTTTACTTTAAAAGACAAAAACAGAAGGATTATCAAACCGCATGGGGCAAGGTTTTTGGTACTCCTTCGCTTTCCTGTGCAATTCAACCTGTTATCAATGGTCCTTTCAAAAAAGTTGCATTGTTACGATGGGGGTTTCAGGTTGCGTCAATTTTGTTAGTCTGGTTCAGTAGTTTCTCTCATTGTTTGTGTATGACGACGTCGATCCGAGAGAGACATTAATTGCCTGGCATGGTAAATGCGCGATGGATGATGTAGATTATCCACAAACTACCTTATGTCCCGGTGTTTCCTTGCAATTTATGAACTAGTTTTTTTTGCAGGTAGTCCCGTTTTGTGAATTTGGTATTATTCTTATTCGTACCGAGTGCATTTGAAACAAATAAAATTAGTTTCTCAAATTAAATCTCTTTCTTAGAGACATCAATCGACTAATATATATTATGTTTGGGCCCAAAGCACACATTTCTAAACAAATCCGTTGTCACGCTAAGGCAGTATCGCTGGAAGTTGAGCTTCCTTACTATGTTGGCGCAGAAAGAAACTATTTACGTGTTTGAATAAAGAAGCCAAAAACACAGGTTTGCACAATGTATCCTGGATCCTGTTTTTGGCTTCTTTATTCAAATTCGTTACGGGGAAACTATGCTTCCAATTTCTATATACGTATTGTTTTTTAATCGTGTACAAGTTTTATCGGTTTTTTCAATCGTTTATTACGTACAAAAAAACCGGTATGAGCGCTGTGAACTTGTTCATAGCTGGGCCGTGCTTCGAAATTATCTTGACGTGGCAGCGCTGAGCGAGGTGCGGGTATCAGAGGAATACACATCCACGCTTTCACATCATGCCTCTCCTCCCGCACACTTTTGGCCTCCTCCTTACTCTCAGCAGATTAAAGGAACTCTGCCCTGACCAACTTAACAAAAAGCAATATCCTAAAATTTGAAATTGAAAGGAAACGCAAAGTAATGATTACTGAGCATCAGGTAGAACAACTGGATCTCATATAACTTTTTTCTAGAAAATTGTCGTCTGGCGAATGGAATACACTTTAAGACCTCCGTACTGATTTGTTCAAACAGGTTCTGATATATAATATTCATAATATCCATTTCATTCGCCTGAGTTTCTTCCTTTCATGCACTGGAATAGATTTGCTGATTTTTGACGAACCCTTTTGGGACAATTTTTTCGAGGAAACCGATATGCAAAAATCCATTTTGATCATATTCATACTCAACTCAAACGTTTATGCAGTATGGAGTGACATCTTTTTTCTGGATGGTTAAACGTACTGGAACTGTTTAGAAAAAGAATTGCCATGAAGCAGTTCACATGTGCGGTTCGTTTGTTTAGTGTAAAATGAGTAGGCTAAAATTTTCGGCAAACTTCAATCAACGGAAAAGCTGTACATATAATCGGGTTGGTTGATCATAATTCCTAGACAACGGTGTGTTTCGGGGGGGAGGGGGCTTGCAGTGGTAGTTAAGGGGTCGGCCATGACAAAATTTATGTTTTCTTGACAAATAAAGAAACAAGTGTTCGATGTATTAACTGAAAAAAGGGACTGAGTTGGGACAAAATTTGTCAGGTAAAGGGCCAACCGGTAGAAGCTGAATTGAGCTAGAAAAAGGCGAATGCCTAAAAGCTGAGATCGATCTTAACTCATTATCTCTGACTGGATTTCTCCGAATGTTGCTGCGTTTGGTGGGATGGCTTTGAGGTGGAATCAAGGACCGAGATTCTTGGTGTAACCTCTCTCGCCAATGGAGCCATACCTGACAAGCGCGAATAGATTATTGGTTCGGTTGAGCTTTCTGTTGTATTTGTGTTGGTTCGATTGGTGTCTGGCGTTTTACTGGTCCTCATAGATGGCGATTCTTCTGTTTTGATCCGCTTTGCTTTATCTGACTGACTTGACTCACTCGAAGACATTGGATTCCCCAGTGGAGGTAACGAAAATCCCCCCGGTCCATTCACTCCGCTAGTTGGTGTTGAACAACCAACAGCTCCAGTGCCCATTCGCAAATTAGATTGTGGTCCTCTAGTTCTCGAGTTGTTGATGTTTGGTGAGCTCTCAGCTGATGGGGCCCTGTTTGTTGGGGACTGATAGAATGCAGGAATTTGAACCATAGTTGTTGGCGCTTGATCCAACAACAAACTTTGGTTCTGGCTTTGAGTCTGAGATCCAACAACACTGGAATTACCCGCAGCTACATCATCGTAGACAACATGAGGGCCAAGGGCATTGGGTGGGAGTTTTAAAAAATATTGCGCTCCACTTTGACCATCTGTAACAAGTGTGAGATTCTGATCGGGAGCAAAACCTTGTGGTGGTTGAATAACAGCATTATTAGTTGAGTACAATAGTTTGTGACTGAGACTTGGTGATGGGGCATTTACTGAGGGAACTCTGATATAGGACGGAATGTAGCTGTTTGGTTTTCCATAATCGTTTACACCAGGCATTGAACCCTGACCAGGTTGTGCCCCTGTTGACTGTGTTAGAAGTCCAGTACCGTCCATATTCACAGTGTACGCCAAATGTGGTGTTGGATAGCCATCTGAATGAGATTGTTGCTGTTGTTGCTGCTGCTGCATCGTGGGTGATTGTATTAGAGAGCCACTGTACATGCGTTGCCCTCCCGGTCTGCCCAGAGTTCCGGTCAAAGAGACTGCCGGATAGTAGGCCATACCTGCTAATTCCGGTTGTGATGCTGGTTGGAACAGCAGGGGCATTTTTTGCATCGTGGACGTAGTGGACGGATAGAGTAGACCGGCCGAACCCTGATAGGAACCGTTCATGTTATTCGGATTGTAGGTCAAACGTGGAAGCACCGGCGTCATGCGCACAGAACTCACTTTGCGCATTTCTTTCGGTAGGCACAAACAAGCGGCTAAACAACTTGCATTACTGGAGCCTTCATTCTGTGCGTCTGTGGGCAGACAGTGAAAATGCAAATTAAGTATGCGATCAAAAATTCACGGAATACAGTGTTTAAATGTCTGTTCCATGTGAATCTAGTTTTTGAAATGACTCAGTATTACGATGCAAAAATTTATCTATTGAAAGGCAATCAAACCAATTAAAGCGATACTTTATGCTAAAATGATCTTCAAGTGTTTTTTCCATCTATTGCAAAGCAGGAATAAGAAATGAATAAGTTTCCTTTCATTTGAAGTGTTCTCTTGTCTAAGTGATAGATGTGGCACAGAATGTACCCAAATTTCGCAGTTTCTAGGAAATCGATCTGCCCATTGAATTTCGGCGGAGAATATTCATTTAACTCTAAATCGTGGTTACCGTTGTTCTCGTCTTCAAGCTGATGGGCGAAAATATTTCATCTTAAAATGTGATCTGAGTCTGCAGGAATCAAATGCTAATCAGTTTCAAGTTACAGTTACCGTTCAGACGGTTGCAATCGACTTTTTATTTATTCGTTGACCTTTAATCGTTATAAAAGTAAAATTTTAGCGTAGTTTGCTTCTTACGCGTTTTCCTGAACAAACAACACCATTGTGTTATTACGAATACCATACCGTTTTCGGTAATTATCGACCTAAATTAGATGTATTCACAAACCACTCACTATGAAATCATAGATTTGATATATCAGATTTATACTCTGTGCATCATTGGACTCCCATAGCCGACCGGATCCCTGTGCAATACGCACGATGCCATGCTGCTTTGCTCTAAAGCAAATCGGTATAATACAATGTCATTTTGGAATTCGTCAAGGAAAATTCCGAATATATTTGAACAAATAGCATTCATAGCATTATTTTTATTTTTGGTATGTCGCTAGCATTCTTATTCTCTCTGTTAGACACTTGTTGAATTTAACCTTTGGAATCCTTATGTAATCCAGGAAAACGGAAGATTTATCTGGAACCTTGTGAGAGATAGACACTCACTCCATTCCAGTTGGTACATAAATGAGGTTGTAAGATCCTAGCACAACTATGCTTCGTTGGTTGACTGTGTTGCATCCAAAGACCAACAAACCTGCTCATGAGATAGATATAACTGTTTGAACCGGCGGGTTATGAGGTGAAATTGACACATTATTGGTTCAATTGATAATAAGATGGTTACAGTAATAATGCTACTTCAAATCAACTGCAAATAATCACGTTGTATAACTTTACCTTTTGTGATCGAACCAGTTGCCGATCTCACTCAACTATTAGAAATCGCATAACTCTTGCGGGAATAAATTTGGACAAAAATCCTCTAACCCTTGTTGGACCTATGGTTTTACGGACTCCTAAGCGAAGTTCAAGAGTGAAAACTTTCTTTTCCTGCCTTTTTCCCAGAGTAATTTTATATTTATCATTGTTTCCACTATGACGCACATTAGTGAGTGTTTTTGACCGAAAATGGAGATAAAAGTGTAGCGCCGTCAACTACAAACAGTAATGCATATATATATATATATATATATATATATATATATATATAAAGCGACAGACATTTGGAAGTTTCAGACCTCTATCACCACGATAGAGTTGGCATCTATTTTATACTACTTGCCATCTGTGCATTAAAGATTTAATTGGTTCTGCGTTCAATGTATTCTTATTGACCCCTTGAATAAAAATGCCAACTAGCCGTTTTTTGGCGCATTTACAACCTAACCCGCGATTTGTCCTGATAGTAAATGCATTTCAGCCTGCCACCTTTGACGAAGCGGTACAAACCTGGGAATAAAAATAGCTAAGGGATTACGAAGTATATTGATTATCCAATGTTTGAGGCGCCTCCATGCGAAACTGAAAAGAGTTTCTCGGAACCCAACTTTTAACTTCGAAATGATGTTCCTTACAGAGCGCCAACTCGGTCTAAGGACTGAATTTTGCGGCCATAGAACCTCAGGGCGAGACGTGTGATCGCAATTTCTATTGCACACTGCATTCCAGCAAACATCAGAGCGTACGTTCTCTGAGCATGTCATGTTTCGTACTGCTGAATATGCTTCCATCNCTGAATATGCTTCCATCGAAGTCTGTTGCCACCCCCTCCCACTCCGCTGGGGTTAATTTCACACAATCACACATAATCGCACACTGTGTTAGGACTCACCAATATAGGATCGCATGATCAGACAACGGATACAGAAACCCATATTGATCAGTAGGGACAATATCAGGATGGCGAGCACCGTGAACAGGACCACCGGTTTGCGCATGTAGGCCACTGCACCGGAAAGGGGTCAGAAGGACAAATGGTCAAATTAATCACATTGTTTATATCTGTATGTCACTTTTGTGGCATTTTTGGGCGTGTGCTTGCGTGGGGGGGGTCATTGTGCATTAAAATCTCGTGCATCCACACACGCACACACACACAAATGGGACACATAGAGACGGGTTCTGTGAATACACAACAATAAGGCGTTAGGTTTTGCAAGCTACACTGTGTACGGAGAAAAGTATTCACTCATTCTATCACATTTTTGCAGTTCTTTCAAAATTCGTGAGCTGCTTTAAAAGCGAATAGGTTTTCTTTTCCTCCCACTTCTTTTGAAGATAAATTTTGTATTTTCGGTAAGAAAATGCACAGGTCCCTTTCATAGTCAACCCGAGAAACCGGAAGAATATGATAAGTCAGCTAACGATTGACTCAGATGGACAAGACCATGTCAAGTATTACGAATGGAGACCACGTTTCATACTAATTGATCGCCGATTATGGATTTACACACTGTGATCTTGAACAGGATGGTCAAACCAGACAACTAAGTAGCTTCGCAAATATAATCATGACACATCACGTGACTTTGCGTTTTCAGAGAACATGTACCAATTCTTGGAGCTAGGCTATATAGTCTTTAACAGAAGTTAGAGTCAGTCGGAAGTAATATCAATCATTTTTTAGTTCGGCTTTGGTCCTCAGCTGCTCGACTAGCTTGAAAATCAGATTGAAAAAGTAATTCTCCACCAGATGCAGATGCTATTCGCTATTTGGTTAATTGGCGAGAGCTTGCTTTGGCCAATTGGATTGGGGACAATGCATTTCACAAAGGTCCCCGATAGTCTTTTACTCATACTCATTTGACTGGTGGATAGTTCGGGTTTCCAGTATCGGCTAAACAGTCTAGGGTCTCCTGATATCCTGTTGCTGTTTGATCCTACCCCCCTCCCGCTTTGATTCCTGTTCATTGGTCCTTGAATCAAGCTGGAGCATGAACCTGGTTGATGTTGGTAAGTCGTTTGACGGTGTTTTTTGGTCGAGCACCATACTTGGAGAGCCTTATTTGATTTTTTGTATGACCCTGATAAAAAATAACAACCTCCTAAAGGTAAAAACAACTTTTGTCCGTTTTAGCGAAGAGTGCTCATACTTTCAAAATCCCAGGTTACCTCCAGGTTGACCGAAATGCTGTTCTTCACCATCCTTTTTAGATGAAGCTTATCCGGTTCATTTTTTTCTAATTATTGTAGGAACCTGCAATTCTGTGAGATAATTTGGTGTGTTATTCTTTCGGAAACCTCACATTCTCAGTGTTGTTTAGACGCGGATGAAAGAGACAGATGTTTGATGCCAACTCTATCTCGAGTTATACGACATCTAAGCTCAACAGATGTTATCAAGTTCGATGATCTTCACTAGTCCACATGTCAGCATTTCAAAATTCTATTTTACCAACATCAATTGTCTGATAGTGTGTGTCTGTGTGGGATTTGCATACAAGATAACATTGCGTGGGAGAAAAAACAGTTTGAAGACGACAGGCCGCAAATAGCGAGACTCTTATGGCTTGATGTCAATCCAAATAAGGTCCGTGATTCTATTGAATGACATTTGGCTCAATTAAGATTGTCAATGATGTCTACTCAACTTCAAGAGTTACAATGCGTTTCTCTGTTTGGCGCAATTTTGTTAAAAATAGTAGTAAAGTAGCTTTATTTTGGTCGCATACATCACTGTTACATCTGATACACTTAACGCTATAGAATAAAATCAGTTAATATTGTGAGTATCAGGTGAACTGGTCCTTCCTGTACGGTACTGACTGGTCTCTGCGCTGCGCAACATTACTCCAGATCCAGTATAAAATACCCACAGGTTACGCGTCACCTTGCCTTGTAAAGAAGTTCTGGAAAACGGAGACTTGTGATAAATCGAAAATATTATAACCAAACAAGGATATCTTCCAAGAAGACATTTCACGTGTCCAACCTAATCGAGGAAGAGATAGATTTTCCAGCCATTCACCGCACAAAATGCTCCATTCAATACATCGGCGGAAGCGATCAAAAATCCATAGTGTCTATAGTTCTTCTCTGACCCAACCTAAATTTGATAACTCATTTGGCTCTTGACTGTCTTCAATGTCGAAAGGAACGGTAGTTCATCATCACCACTGATTCAATCCGGTTCGTGAAGTTAAAGCTTTCAATCTGAGTGTGCAATCTTTTCGCGCCGCTTTTGAGAACAAACTTATTCTGCAGACAGCCAAGAATATGCCCGACTATCCGACCTAAAGGGGTGAGTGCACGAACGATACTCGGTTTGAGGCTCCTGACGTCGCATAGATTTGTGCTCCAAAACGCATAAACCACATACCGCTTGTAAGCACAAACCGTACATGTTCAGTAAAATTTATAGTGAAATGCCCATTGTTTTCACACCCTCAGTTTTACAAGTAGGATTCAACTGACTACCGACAGGTCAGTTCCGCAATCAATGTTTGCGTAGGGGTTGCGATGTATCAGTTATTGATGAGATAAATAAATACCACACAGAAGTTGGACGATAATAGTGGAATTGCAACTACTGACCTCTGGGTTTATTCACCTTATTGCCCGACTTCTACCATTAATTTAAACGATCTGCCAACCGTTGTCATGGTATCAAAGAGTAGAGTGGACGATACTATGTACGAAATATTTTGTCACTGGCTACAACGACACGGGAGCACACCTCTAGCTAGCATTGGAAGAAGTGAATTCACATCTGTTTGTTCAGATTTTTCAAAAAAGGACAAAAATGATCAACTCAATTTTCACCAACCATTATCCAAAAAAGCTACAGGCTCCAGGCAAAAATATCACGTGCAGATACATTCACAACTACCACACAAAATTATGAACGGTGCGCAAACTTCAATAGGTTTGATACGTATCTTCAGGTGCAGTGAGTAGCTACAGGATGGATTCCGCGTGCGGGCCACACGAACACACGCACACGCAAACAAGAATAGGTACACATAGCAGTGCAAAAATAATCCCGTCGGTTCTGGCTGTAACCCGGAAGCCAGTAAACAGTTAGTTCGCCTTGTTTTACCAACAATTCACGGAGTTGGTAATGGGCAATGCATAAATGCAGCACCTACAGTGCAGGCTGTAACACTAAAACGGTAATTGCGACATTCACGGAGCGTACCTTTTTCGGTTCGGTAGTCTAAAATAGTAATAGAGAATGAAGACGAGGTTTTACTGCTTACATGTGACAGGTTACCACGAGGGTAAAAGGATATAGATCAAAGGGTTGTTATGGATAAGTGCACAAAAGACAGGGTAATGGAGGAACTTACAAGGTCTCTGATCCACATCGTTATATTTCTTGTGCGATCCAGATGAGGCTGAGGGAGAAAAGTTTTTGTTGGACTGTTAGTCATTCGTATATGGTTTCCATATTCGTCAAAATCTGACATGCGTATATGTCTAATACACCAGGTGATTCAGCAAACTAAAAGTTGTTAGCCTAAGTTTTTGTGATTCATTGATTTCCTGTTGCAACATGCTCAGAGTTTGGAAAAACAAAACAACTTAGAAAGAAATTATTCAGAATATTGAAGTTTAATCAACTGACAGTAGAACGTTAAGCGCTACGGTAAATGATCCAGACAGTGGAAGGGTTATATGGTCTTGATTACGTTGAAAAACCACCTCGATTTGTTTATTATGGACATTTCGTGTTTTTTATGAATGGAATATAATTGTATTAGAACTGTGCAGCATTTTAGTTTGTCCATACATGAGACGTTCTTCTTCAAAAGCTGCCCACAGAATTCTAGTGATACTTATCATTTCAAGCACGCTTGCTCGGAACGTTATACACAAACTACTAGTCACATACTGTCGACGCATGTGTATGAATCATGCTCGACTTACTTTATTTTAATTATTTTATAAATAAGGTAGGCATTTTTTGTCGAATTTTTTGATCAGGAGGTGCCACCGTCAAATCTCGCATTTCATTGACCTTAGTACAGTCGAATTTACGTATTTTCGCTCAACTGACTGATCTGGAATGGTCCATCCGATTCCCGCTTCTGTTGGGCACGGTTTCGTGCACACTGGTGCTTGCTGTTGGATCCGTGTAAATATAACAGTCGCAACTACTGTTGCGGGCCTTACGGTTGTAGTATTCAGTTTCACGAATGAGTGAAATAGTTGAAATACCAAGTATGATTTGATACGTGTAAATCGGTTCACAAAGCTTTTATGATACCTTACCGTTCACATCCGAAACTTTTTGATTGGTCGGTTGTTCGACAGGTTTTGCGTCTGATATGTCAGGATGTTCCAAACTTATCTGCTGGTGCGAGAAGAAGTAAAGGAATTAAATTGAGTTGAGAATTGTTGAGAATTTTTGAAGACATTCCTTTAAAGTAAGATAAGCATTACTCCCGGGAAGCAAACATGCACTACTTCTGTAAGAGCACAAAAAATTGAATAGAATTACTTTCACTCTCCTTTTAGGTGCCTAATAATTTCTACAATCACGATGTCCCGATCAGCATGGTTTTATCCATGAGCATGCATACATTAGTTGAATAAAATCAGTCTCTACAAAAGCTACCTCAATATAACACAATAACATATCATTTGATTTGAAGAACGAATAAAGTTTCATGCTATCCATCCCAAATAAAAAGGTTATTTGCTCAATAAGGTGTAAGAACCAATATGATTGTGATGAAAATACGGTTTTACAGTTACTGAAAGTCAGATAACAGCATTGCGGAAATTTTCGCTTAGACTCAGCACTACTCGTGAGTAGTGGCATGGAAAAAGAACGCTCAATTTTAAATACTATTCCTTCAGACTTCATTAAATTTGAAAAACAAATTAGCGAGAACGGTTGACTCGGAAATTCCCATTAGTCCCACTGTAATTAGGCTGTTATTTTTGCTTAAACACAAACACTCTCGAGGGTTCTGAGATCGAATCTCCGGATTCCCCGGGTTATCATTTGGCGATGAGTGAGGACAGACGCTTTTTGATGGTGTTGAATGTGAGCAAACTCACAGATATCTCTACTGAGTTAAACGTTGGTTTATTCTACTCACACTGCAGTTCATATGGATATTACTAAACTAGCACAGAGAAACACACTCATATTTTCATAACAAGCTCGGATCTGATGTGGCCAGTTCCGATCGTGGCTGCATTTAATTCTGAGATATCATGATAACACTTGATCATTTACATAGTAGTGTTTCGCTGTTTTAGGGAGCCTTCTTTATGCAGTTACTGTTTGCTATTCAGCACTAGGATGGTGACGAAATTATGCACATCACTGGCGCATCATGTATTCTTAATTTCAGTGATGTTTTTGATAAACCTTACCTTCCTCAGTTGGAAGTGCACTCAACAAATAAGGCAACTATAAAGACCGTAGGCATCGATTCACCAATAACAGTAACAATCTCATCAAAACCTCCTGACTTCTGAACTAAATTGCGCTTAGGTTCATATCGAGTTTATTCTATTTTTAGTGAAGTTGGTTTCATTCAAGTTGTGAGTTTCTGATAAACGTTAGCAAGATCATCAAGTTGTTTATTAAGTTATGATTCACTCCAAATAGTTTTGCCATGTAAGCACTGGTCTTTTTAATTTCAACAAATGAACACCGATGATGATGGATGCTTAGTATATCATGAAATGAATCTCGTCTTTTTCAGTTCAGAGAAAACTTAGCCTGAACAACTAGGCTGAGCAAACCCTATTAGATACGTTCTTTAGTATGCTTGTTGATACAATTCCCTGGGTATGCTCACTGAGGTCAGTCACTATGACACAAACCTGGACGCTGAGCATTGGCCCTCCGATATTCTGAACATCTGAACTATCAATCTAGGTTGGTCCGCAGTATTTGCAATTGCATCAACATTTTACATGGTATCTTCCACCGCAGAACGCAATAAAAATGCAAGATAAGATATTTCCCCTGTGTATTGCTCGAAACCTCTTACCATTTTAGTGTGTAGACGTTATTTGGTAAATAGTACTCTTAGATCACTTGATCTGCTCTACACAGTGTGAGTTTTGTTCCCCGGTTTACTGCTAATTACCCTAACTTTGGCTGTAAAGTAAGGAATTCCGTTTTCGGAATCTGTGGATGTTCCTTCTGCACGAGATGTGACCTACAACTAATCAAAATATTCCTTCACATACTTTTTGTTCGATAGGTAGAAATTCATGATCTAATCTCAGCTCTAGTAGCAGAAAGAGGATGCAATAGATAAGAGAGTTATGAATATCCGTGGTGGCATTTAGACGACTTTCGACTCTGTGAATTTACCATCTTATCTAAACCACTTTACTATCAAATAAGCAATACTAAATAAAAAATTCTCCTAAGCCATTTCTGGCTCCTCTGTGGTAATGATCAATCCACCGAACACTTCCTGTTCTTTGGAGTCACATTGTTCATTTCTTCACGAATCCTCACGAATCACATGACTTAGTTAGGTTTGTTCGTTAACAAAGTCGTGCACACGCACGTGATCGATAGGGAATGTCAGTCATTTTGAATGCGACCGTAGACAGTTTTATGAGAACTGTTGAACGAATGTCTTTCACGTTTCGATTGAAATATAAAAATTGATGTTTGGACTGAATAGATTTCCGTTTGACCAAATACTGAATGCAAACACGAAAAGGTCATTTAGCAACGTCAAATTACGGGAACTCAGTCTTGATACAGAACACTAGGCAATAACAGAAAAGATTATTGACATTTTCAGTAAAATTTTGTCAAATTAAAAACTAAAAGCCATTCAAAATTGATCACTTGAATCACCTAACAAATTGCAACTCTAATGAACTACACAAATTTCGTTCGCTGCATTAAATTGAAAGGAATATTATCGATTTAGAAATGACCCCACTTGCTTCCTGATATTCTCTCAATACATGAACTGCTCTGCTTCATCGGAGTTGATTGACACGTCTTGATAATGGCACCGTCACAGATAAAAATTATTTTTCTCTATCTTATTTCTGACTAATTTTTTTCCTAAAAACACCTGTGTGTTATAGAAAACAGTAAGGGTTTACCGCATAATCACAAGGACCCATTGTTCAGTTAAGAAAACCGGCAACGTAAGCACCGGTATTTGAATCAGAAAGCCATCTAAAGGCCCTAGATCATTGGAGAAGTTTTGGGCAATGCGACAGTGAATCTATTCACCACCAAACCATTAGAGTTAAAGGGAACCTATTTTACACATGAGTAGTGAATTTCAAACCCACTCCTTAGAACGGTACTGCTATCAGTGAAAGTAAATCGAATTGTTTGAAACTCACTTTAAATTTCGCACTTTCCATGCCTGCATGTGTACAAGACCAGAACCCGGAAAGCCTTGGATCGGTTCGATCGATCTTCACCTGGATTGTGGTCGTTCCGTTCGCGTATTTCACTTGTTCACAGAATACCGTCTGATCATTTGGCACACACGATTTTTGCTCGCTTCGTGCAGATCGAGAACATGGTTCGGTCGGCGTGCAACCTTGATAGCAATGTCCGGTCCCGTAACGATCAGCCAAAGCCGGACAGAGTAAATAGATCTCAGCGTTCGATTTCGGGCGGCTCACACTGCATTTGAGTACGGTAAAATTTTTCTCGTGACTGGCTTGCAACTGCGGTTTTTGGTCTAGAGTGGAAACATCCGAGTCGTACAGACTGACCGGGTCACGAGTCAAACGTCGACCGAATGGAGCGGGCGGAGGATATCCGTGAAGAAATAGGCCATTGCTCTGGGGTCCTGAAAGGTTCGGACCAGCAGACAATAGTGTATCATTATGGTAACTCAAACTAATGTTCACTCATTTTTCAACAGGCTACGTGATTGTCACGTACACGGACACGTGACTTACTATAAAAGTTCACAGGACTTATTTAGAAACCTTTTGTTTCATAAGAGCAAATCTATATGACTAATACTACTAACAGATAAACGGATTTCGTGCTGCTAAAGTGTAGATAAAATTATCTATCAAATAAATTGTAGCACTGCCATTCAGAGCGGGGAAGTGGCGGCCCTGAATAGATTCATTCTATTTATGGTAAGTTCCATTAGTTTGACAAAATATATAGACCTTGGGCCTAAATATTTTAATATTTTTTGTTATTAATTTATGATTCACTTAAAGACCATATGGAATTTCAGATAATTCCATTAGATTTTCGTGCAATTTATCTGAGGTGGAGTATTTGTTTTACAACTTATACGGCGGCTGAGTCAAACGTTTACGGACGCACAAAAATATTTATCATTACACAGCAATAAGCATTATATTGTCTCAAAGTATAGAAGGTGAAAATCCTATTTAATGACCTCGCGGGTGGGGGGCGGTAATGAACAAAGCTCATGAGTATTTCCTTTGAATAGGATACATTTTCTTGTAAAGTCATTGCAATTAAGCAAAACTTGGTATAATCAGAATTTATCGTTAGCTTTCCACACGATGTGAAAGGCAGTCCCTCAACTGGCGCATGAACGATTGTAAATGAAACGAACACAACTATCATAGATAAGTGTGTACCATTGAAGTGGAATAAACTGCAAAAATGTTCACTAAATTATCTTGCCTAAGGTTAGTACAATTTTCAATTAAAAAACTGATCCCGAGTCATTGGCACATCTATAGCCCAAAGCAAACAAAAAGTTATCTCTGCTAAACTCACAAGAATGAATATTCAACGGAAGTGGAATTGGGTATGTTCTTAGGGAAGATGAAAGAAAACAATTAACCATAATCAAGACACGGAGTATATCGTCTGATCTGTCATGAACACCTCTGTGAACATTCCGATTTATTGCGAGGTAACAACAATAATGTAAATAGCGTTAGTTGGCTGTCAGTCTTTTTAGGCAATCCTTCACCGTGCTTCGGACCAACAGCTTGCAAGGCGGGACAAACTTACTCTGCGCAATCTCTCTGTGGGCAGCTTAAAGGTCCCTGGTTGCAGGCAATCTGTTAACCTACCCGTAAATTCATCACCTCCGAGCAGCAGATGCGAATGAAGTGCGGTGAGTTGGACGACCGCAGGGGCGTGAACAATAATGATATAAGACGTCAGGTCCCCGCCTAACACTACTAGAGATACATTTATCGTCTCTATGGTCTTTCTAATAATACCTTTGTCTCCGTTTTTGAATATCGATGGCACATATGCTGAATTATGCGAGCGTATTTGTAATTAATTACAAAAAGAGAAGTATATGCCAAAGAATTATCGTAATTTACGGATATGAATGACCGAACAGTTACACTAAAACCAGATAAGCACTATTTTGAGGATGTAAGCGTATGTCACCCGACCAAGAAAAAGTCGACTTTATTCACTTATGATGAATTTTAGTGACACGATTTAGAGTTTCTAGTTTGGATTAACTCATTCGCTTTTTCGGATGAATCGGGCACTTTTGTTGATCTTTGCTGCGGGTTTCACTTGTTGGGAGTTCGTAAACTACCCAATAGTTGAAAGCATTTAATTGCGATGGAAGTATTTGGAATGACCGACAAACAGCACTGGGTAGCTGTTCCGTCGATCAACAGTACCTGGTACCTGTTAAAAACCGTCTAAATTGATTGAGTCATTCCTGCAAAGTGATGACCGTTGACCGTTGAGCTCAAGATTAAGAGATTGAATTCCCCACCCCAATGCTCACCCCTTGAGTCCTGGTCGGGACAAAATAGTACGAGTCCCAAACAGGACGCACCAGATTTCCAGTGCTCTTTGTCGGTCATCCCAACTTTTCCATTGCAACTTAGTTGCACGACTTTTCATTTGGCCTACTTAAATTATCTGAGTAGGCACATCTTTTACACAAATCTCACCAACAGAAATCGGGTGAAACTGATCATAACAAGCCATGGAAAACTATCCGACTCTACAGTAACTGTCAAGACCACAGGCGGACGATATCAGTCCCAATTTGACTCATTTGCTTTTGGCTATTAGGCACGTTTACTACATTGAACTTCTCTTGAACCGAGGAAAAGAAAGCAACTCACACATGGCTTTTTGCACAGATCAAAATTAGTGATTAAGATTTGTGAGAGTAGTGGGGGATTTGATTTGAGTTTCGGCGTGCACAGAACGAATGAAGTGTGAGCTGAAAAGCCAGGAAGCACTGCAGTGCTATTTCGATCTGGTTTGTTCTCGTCAGCAGTACAGATCTATCTAACCAACTGGAGACCGTACCAGCGACCTAACAGGTAGAACGCAAGTTTACTACGCACTCGGCCACCAGGCAGCTGATCAGACCGTCCTTTCTATCCTGCATAGATGAAATGAAAAAACGGTCTGATTAGCTACTCAGTGCTTCAGTGGGTCATGGGCTTGCGTTCTACCTGTAAGATCCCTGGTTCGATCTCCAGTTGGTTAGATGGATTTGCATTGCTGATGAGATTGTCTCGGATTGAAATCGTTGTTCAGTGCTTCCCAGCTTTTCAGCTGTCTTTATTAGCTCTATTTAACCCGAATTTTACCGAAAAACTCATAGGATTTCATAAATTAGCCCTCATTACTGTGAACTGGATATGATGGCATTATTCAAGTGTGATGGTCTCTTTTTTCCACATATATATTATTGACCTTTCGTCCAGTTATTTAATGTACGTCAAAGTGAACAAATGATTTCCTGTAGAGATGGAGAGGGGATGTGAGGCAGTGATTATCATTCAAAGATTCTCATGGGAAACGGAAAATTGGTTCGGAATAATGGAATTGATGGAATTCAAATATCGTGCCGGTGCCCCACGCACCGGTTTTTATATCTCATCACAGACATTATCCCTCGTGAACTGGCTCATAACTATTTTATTTTCCTGTGGAAGTCGAGTTTGTTTTTCATTTTTTCACACGCATCTGTTAGAGATTGGCCTTGCCAAACGATGAATGTTCTGGTTTTTACAAACGCTACCGGCATTTTTATTGTTTTAATGAATTGAATTGAAAACAGCGTGTGCTGTTCATTGTGCTTATAACAATTCGTTTCAGACTATATGTCCCGTGACCTATCGGCTAGTCAAATGATTTGGTGGATCTCCAGCTAACACCCATTTGGTATTCACGTACCTGAGAGAGAGACTTACACTTGGCTTCTGTCTTCCGCGTACCGCTTGCCAAACGTTAAACAATCAGCATGTACCCACCTCCTTAACTCAGTATCCATCGGGTAAAACTGTGATTGAGAAGGGTATCTGGTTGGAGCTGAACTGTGATAAACTTGTGCGCTTTACGGTACCCTCCACAGATACACTGTTGGAAAAATGTATATGAAAGACCATACAGTATTATATTGTAAAATAACACTCATTGGTTCCTTTAGCAGATTATTTGAATCGGTTCCCATTTATAACTCGCGACTTTTCCTAACATTCATAAACGATGTGCCGAAGGCTCTTAGGCCAAAATCATTACTGTTTGTGGAGGACGCCAAAATTTCGAATACAGTGACGCAACCAGCGGGCTCGCTAACCTTCCAGGAAAGGCTGAAAGTAGCTCATCTCTGGTCTCTTTTGAACAATAATGAATTCAATGTGCCAAAGTGTAAGGCTCTATCACTACGACACAAGGGGCGATTTTCGTATTCCTCGGAAAGGAACAACTGGCACACGCCTCAAATGAGAAAGACCTGGGCATCATTATTCAAGAAAACTGAAGCTCCTCACTCAACTGCGACATGGTGTTGAACGCACCTGTAAAGAATGTGGTTTTGATTAAGTGGGTCTTTGGCCGGTTTTAGTCAACGCTTTCCCCCGTTTTCTACCACCATTCGTTCACTCACTCACAGTATACGCTATCCAGGAATGGAATCCATGGCTACAACGTGAATGCAAATTGCTGGAGGGTCCACAAAGGAAGGACACTAGAAGGGCTATGGGGTTGAATCTTTATTCATACGCACAGAAATTGAAGTCACTGAGGTTATACTCTAATCACTACTGGCGTATCAGAAGAGATATGTTTATGTTATACCAAATAATGCAAAACCCAGGCCATTCGAGTCGCCCGCTGCTAAAATTATCACCGAACGTTCATCTTAAAGGACCTCTATTCAAACTAGTGGTCTCAAAATGCCGATTGGAATACCGGCGTCAGTCATTCGCGATCAGAGTGTGTTCGATCTGGAACTCTCTTTTACCCCACGTCGTCTGTCAGCCAAGCATTAAATCTTTCAAATTGAGACTAGATGTAGCATTAGTACAGTTTACATTCCAAAATAAACGAAGCTGCATGCCTTAGCGGAAGAATCCCTTATCATGTGACATTTTACACAAGGAATTATATGTATTCTAACCACAACACGAACCTACGGGACGAGAAAAACATGAGCTTATAAGGTATTCCAATAATAAAACTTTGAAATTTTGTCTATTTCTCCCGTCTATGGACATATTTGGAGATACACATATTAGAATAAATCAACTTGATTTAAGCACACGTTCGCCGGGGTGATAACTTGAAGACCTTACGATCGGGATACCACCGCCCGTTCCTACCAATTCTGATAGGCAATGGATGCTTGCACTCCGTTCCTTCTGCAGTCTCTCCACAATCTCTTCTGTTCTGTGATATTTGCAATTTCTCAACGAAGTATTTTTCTCACCTACGGTATTGTCCCGAAATTATGTTGTTGCTGAAAATTTATATTTTGTGGCAGATCCACATGAATATTTGACTGAACGTCATGTTTCGTTAAAAAATGAGCTTTTGATTGATCTACTGAGCAACGGTATTGAAGTGCTACACTAACGTCACTTAATTTCCGAACTTTCTTGCCCTGTTGTAATCCTTTGTTCGTCCTTCAGTCCTTCGCAAGGTCTCCCATGTACAACTTTCCCGAAACAGGAACCATGTAGTAGAATGATTATTTAAAGTAAATTCTCAAAGACGCATTCTGAAACCTTCCATTAGTTTGGACCACTAACGTTGCTTGTCTATCTCCCGTCCAAAACAGTTTATCCTCTCCAGTTACTAATAACACTGTTTGCAACATGCTGTTTGCATGACGTAATGTTTCTGTAAAGTTGAGTAGCATGAGAAAATGTGTTTCTTTAATTCTGACTTCTCACTTTAATGTTTCTTACTTGATAACACCAGTGTGATCCGTTCCATCCATGGATCTCGTGTGAAAAACATCAATCCGTTTTGAATTCTACTCTGAAATCAGGTATCTCCAACCTCATCAGGGATTTAAATATTCCGCATATTTTAGCTTGCGGTCACGTTCATTATTTTTTATGTGAAGAACTTTGTCGCCTATAAAGATAAAAGGAAATGTCTAAAGAGAAGTTAATAAGCATAGTGCATCCATCTTGAGGCCTCATCAAAAGTGTGACTCGAACGATTCTACTGAGACTTCACAGGAAGAAGGGGCTTGACCGCTGAACGTCGCTTGTATTTGCCATCGTAAAGCGCGCACTTTACCTCGCTCTTGTTTGCACAGACCTCCGAGGTTATACTTTAAGTTTACAAATCTGAACAATGGTTTTTCTCCCAGTTTGCATGCACCAGTCACCTTCATCAAGTAAACTGGACTCAGGCACTGAAATGTCTTTACGATCTGCTATACGAAATGCTTCTCACAGAAGCCAATGGTCTTTGCTATATCTACGCAGATATTATTTATTATTATTATTCATTTATTTTTTATTATTTTATTTTAACTATTTGTTTCACCATCTTTATTAATTATTCCTTGTTCGACACCTATTTTAAAAACGAACTCCAAGCCCTGAACAAACGAAACTCCGCCAAAGCGAACTAGAACACGTCCACGTTTTGCACTATCACAACCCCCCTAACAGAGGATTGTAGTTAGATTTCAGGTCGGACAAAATGAAATGGTCTTGTCCATGTGAAAGACTGTTGCGTGTTTCCATGATGTTTGCTTGTGTCTGGGGCGGGGTGAAACACGGGTCACTCTGAGGATAGCCACCATATTCAAGTGATGTGCCTAAAAGTGACCGGTTGCTATCAGTCCAACAACGGTCTTCGTTGGCTATGCCAACTCGAGCCGAACACTTCGTCGGGATGGTGCCGTTGCTATTGGTGTGGATTATTTTGTTACACATACATCGAACTACGTTTTGGCGGCCTGTGCGAATCTTATCATTGTAACTTTCTTCACGTGTGTGGCCTCCATGTGCACGGCACATCACATGATGATGATGATGATGTTGATGAGAGATATTGTGACGGACAGTTGGTCAGTCATAATGATCTAGATGTGGAGTGTTTGATTTGATAGGACCGGGTTCACAAAGGAGAGGTTAAGCGTGGGTGGATGCGTATTGTCTGCTCACCAACAACGGCAACAATGCCAGTTGGGTACGTGATCATACCCGGATGAGTAAGTGTGCCAAAATCCAGATATTTGGTTACTCGGGAAAAACGAGGGCCGTCCGCATTCCAATATCAGTGTAAACACATTTGTAAGCCGCTGGTGGTGCAATAGGATGTATGCGAGAACAAGTCGTGTTTTTTGTCTTTCAAAACACGCGCACTGCATGTTTGACGTGGCTAGTACGAACAATGAACGCAGCTAGTTTGTGAAGGAACACCACGCTATGATAAAATTATTTTGTTTATTTTTATCTATTTCCAAACAAAACATTTACCTTTGGAATACAAAAATTAAACGCCCTATACGACGGCAGTTTTCAATTGATTATGGTCATTACGAAAGTGCCTGCCCATAATACCACCCTCCACCCCCCCCACCCCATTATGATATTTTCTAAGGCTTATTTTAAACGCTTATAATTCGTGCAACCGGTTTCCGTCAACTCTTTCATGAGAACAAGAAGAAGCATCATGTTCACAGGATGTTTTGAAATCAACTATTTCGTGGTAATCTCACCAGCTGCGTACATATTCAGATCACCTTTGGTTGAAAGAGTGACAGGTTTGGGGACGTACTGGATAGTAAAGAATGTGACAAACCCAGGAACGCCTGTCGTGTTTTGATCCGCCAGATCGGTAGCCAACTAGTGACCTTTGGCCTTCCCCGTATGTGTTCGCCTATCCCCAAACCTGTCACTCTTTTAACCCAGCGTGATCTGAATGTATGTACACAGCTGATGAGTTTACTACGAAATGGTTTAGTTCAACACCTATGATCATGATGCTTCTTCTTGCTCTCATGAAAATGATCACCATTTGTTGTTAGAAACTTACTGCATAATTGTATACTTGTATATTCAGTGAACGTAAGACAGACAGACAACAATATGATTGTTACATCTCGATAGCATCCTCAAATCACGATTTAGAGCGAGTCTAAGATTCTCTCTTCCAAATCACAAAACTCGCATTACTGAATGCCCAAATTCGTCAGTATGTTCCCGTGATATCTGGTTTCCTTCTCCAACGATTATTCTCATTATTGCCAGCTATTTACTTTTTCTGTGATTCATCATATTGTTCTCATCAATGACAAAATAGTCAAATCGAAGCATTCTTCAATGTTTCACCGGATAGTAAATTATATGATGAGGGAAAAAGTAATTCCATCACCACTTATCAAACCAAAATGACCTTTCTTTTGCGTAACGCTGTACGGACTTGAACATGTGTCAGGTAATAACACAACAGGTATTTCTCGTCATCTAGACTTGGACAGCAAAACCAATTACTTTTAAAACAATCAATTATACTCACAGAATACGTTATGTGTGTTCGGCAGCTAGGCGATCGGTGTTTAAAGTGAAAAATATTATTTTAAAACCACCGGTACTCATGGCACAACCGATGACTGCTCGTGTATTTTTTTAATGATTGCATGATTCATATGAGTAGAATGTTTGTTGCACACAGTTTTGTGAGCCCTACCAAAACAATAATTCAAATTTGTGTGTACCGGAAATCGACTGCCAGCTCACAAAGTCTCAAACAATGTGCTAATCGAAGAGTGTAGGCAGGGCTGATAATGAGCCTGGTGGTAACAAGTCTGATTGTCGTCCAAACGAGTGGCTTCTGCTGACGTCAACTTTTCCGATCTCAAGAATCACTGTGTGGTAGTGCTGTCCATCGTTGCGAACATTAGGAAAGCTTCTCAGTCTTAAATTCCTCGGAATATCGGCATTTTCAAAATTGTATTTTGCCATCAACAAGTGTATGCGCGCGTTTCGTTACCGTACTTAGTCAATTTGGATCAGTTTACACTGGAATGAAAAGAAATCATGTTTTTACATTCCAGCACTACCGAGACAGAATTATTCGGAGCACTTTGGCATGTGAGAAGCGCATTTAGTCATATGATTACAGAAAGAATGTCTAACAACAAAGGCGTCAATAAATTAGCATGGTTAAAATAACGTAACATTCTTGTTTCGATAAACCATACTCCATTCAGCCAATGATGCTTTGTTGTCAGTGAGATATCAATGACTTTTGAATTGCTCAATAATTATACTCAATAATGAATTAATGAGGTTTGAAAATACAATAGGGTAACCTATCTGGTCAGTATAATCAACCCAGAAATACTCCAAATTTCCACTATATCTAGAACCCACAAAACTGATAAGTTTCACATGTGGCTCATGTTTTAAGTGATGGAGCACCGCAAGCAAGAGCTCCCTAAGGAAACGAAAACTGTAATGACTTGGTCTGAGCATCACTTCGATGCCATGAACCACCTCAATCGTATACGAAACGTTGTATGTGATTAGCCAAGTGAAGGTAGTACATTAAATTTTTAGTAAACCCAAAGAAACAGCAAAATACTCAAAACGATACCTTTCAAATTCTACAATAATTCAAACTATTCACAATAACTTTTGAAGAATTTTCACATCGCAGATGTTTTTCTTTGAGCAACTACCTAGGGAAGAAAGACGGTTTAATTGTCATTATTGAAAATATAAACGGATTCCAGTTCACATTTATGGGAAAGTTTCTGAGTCCTACTGGAATCGAATCCTCATGTCAGGAGCAAATCACATCGCTTTTGAGCTCCCTGGATCCCGATAACGGTGGAATTGTATGGACTGCGTAAGGTGTTTAACAAGGAATAGTTTTATTTATCAGATCCTAAAGTTCACACGGTACGCTGAGGACTATGAATGGCAGTTTAGGTACTCTCGTAGAGCAAGGATGGATCATTTCTCTCTGTAAGGTAATATTTCACGAGCATCTTGATCGATAAGTTTGTAAAGTGATATGGATTGGGCTTCAGCAAGGGACAAAAGACGAACCGACAATTCCAAATAATGATTGATTTGTGTCATTGAAAATGCGAACTTGACCTGATAATATTCGACACGTTGATAGGACTGTAGTCTAATTGACGATGAAATGCCCTCCTTGCATCTCTATACTTATCTTACTTTATCATCGATAAAATGAGATAGAGAAGTGAGATTGAATACTATAATCGTGTGTGGTGTTTACTACAACGTTTTCTTCCATACAGCTGGTAGAATGAACACCTTAATCAGTTTGAATATACTGACTTTTTTTAGGCTTAGAAACCAAACTAATTAGATAGAGGCATTGAAGAAATCCAATCGATAAAAAGAGATGTGTCATCACCAGATAGATCTTTGTTTATTACTTTTTTCAAATCCCAGAAAAATGCAGCAATTATTGATAATTGAAACGGAACAAGTCAGCACAGTGGGGTGGGATGGGTGGTGACTGAGACAGGCAAAGGCTCTTCTGTCAGATTGATCGCTTTTGTTAAGAAAAATTAAAAGTGACAACAGATCGGTTAAGGTTGACGGCATTCAGTTCGTCTCCAAAAATATAATTTAATAGATCGCAAATAATTTGTGTTTACCGGTCCACCCCTAATCAGGCCCGTAATGCTCCAGATCGTATCCATGAGCGCATTTGTCCGTTTGATACGCGGTTACCGGAAAACTCAGTCGCCCAACGAGTTTTACTCGACGTACTGGATAAAGGATTTGGATGATTTTTGGATGACGAATGAAATGCAATGATAAAGGAACCGTTTGGTTGAGCGTGAAATAATCATCCATAATTCAGTTTCAGTTTCAGATGTGAATAACGTTTTTGTCTGATTGTTGTAGTTTTGTTTTTTGCACTGTTGTAAATCTCAAGAAGGATCTAAAATGACACACGTTTGGTAGGGTTTACGCCAAGTTACT